TTAATTTAAAAAAGTTAAAAATTTTAAAAATTTTAAGTAAGTTAAGGAGTGATCCTCGATACGCTAGTTAGCCTATAGCGATCTCTATAGCGATCTCTATAGCGATCTCTATAGTAATCCTCTCGTGATCCTCTCGTGATCCTCTCGTAATCCTCTCGTGATCCTCTCGTAATCCTCTCGTGATCCTCTCGTGATCCTCTCGTGATCCTCTCGTGATCCTCTCGTAATCCTCTCGTGATCCTCTCGTGATCCTCTCGTGATCTACGATACGTTATTTAGCCTATAAGTGATTCTCGAGTAGGATCCGATTAGGATTAGAGTAGGGTTAATATAGCGTTAATATAGGATCGATATAGGATTAATCCTTTATAGGAGGGCATATATGTTTCGAACACTTTTTTTTTACTATTATAGTAGCTAATACGTGATCCGGATCAATCCGGATCCGATCCATATCCGATCTACTGAGAAAATCAATAGATTAAGCCTCCGACCTAGGAATCGACCTAGGATCGATCTAGGATCAGACCTAGTTTAGTAACTAGGTCTAAACTAGGTTAGAACTAGGTCTGAACTAGGTTAGAACTAGGTCTAAACTAGGTTAGAACTAGGTCTAAACTAGGTTAGAACTAGGTTTAAACTAGGTCGGAACTAGGTCTAAACTAGGTCGGAACTAGGTCTAAACTAGGTCTGAACTAGGTCGAGACTAGGTCTGAACTAGGTCGGAACTAGGTCTGATCCTGGATCGAGACTAGGTCTGAACTAGGTCGGAACTAGGTCTGATCCTGGATCGATCCCGGGTTAAGCCTCTATAGAAGGCCAGTATAGTAGGTACATAGGTGCCCACCCTATAGGATCGATATAGAATTAATAATATATTAATACCGTGTTAATACAGTTTCGAAACCATTTAGAGGATCGAACACATATCTAACGAAAACAATTCGAAATCGGTTCAGAATCGGTTCGAAACCGGTTCGAAACCGTCTACGAGTTTACGCGTATTAAGGCTATATTAGCTCTATTTACTTAGATCCTAAGTTTTGAGTATATATACTAGTTCGAGTATTTCTTATATACGTATCTTCTTAATTATTATTCTCTAACTACGCGACTTCTGCGCGTATAGATCTACTCGAGCGTTCTACCGAGCGTTCTGTTAATCGTCCTATAACGCGTATACCTACTATGTACTTAAGCGTCTCGTCGAGCGTCCTGCCGAGCGTCTTATTGATCGTCCTGCTGCGCGTGCATCTAACGCGTGGTTGTATCTACTCGAGCGTCCTCCTACGCGTGCACCTAGGCACTATACTGGCCTTCTATAAGAGCTCAATCTGAACCAGGTCTGAACCAGGTCTAAACCGGATCGGATCCTAGATCGGAGGCTTAATCTGTTGATTTTCTCTAATCCGGATCGGATCATTAGTCAAAAAAAAAGAGTACTAGTATTCGAAACCTACTCTTTTTTCTTTTTTATTTTGAGGCTACTATTAGAAATTTTTTTTAAAAATTTTAGACAATACTATATAGGCCATAGTAGAGTAGTTCAACACCGTGTCAACACCGTATTAACACGGTTTCAATATAGTTTCGATATAGTTAGTATCCGATACGGTTTCGGACCGTAGTGAAACCGGTTCTACTACGAATCCGAATCGGTTCTGAACCGGTTTCGAACCGTAGTGGAATCGATTTCGAGGTTTAATACCGTGTTGATACGGTATTAAGTCTCGAATACGGTTTAGAGCCTTGAATACAGTTTGGAGCTTCGATACGGCTATAAATTAAGCTTATAACTATTTCTACGTTTACTACTAGTAGACCTATAGCTTATCGAAAAGGTCTACGCCTAACTGCACGCCTAACTGCACGCCTAATTATACGCCCAACTATATATATAACAGTGCATTCGATAGTGCATTCGACAGTGCGTTCGACAGTGCGTTCGACAGTATATTCAACAGTGCATTCAATAGTGCATTCGACGCTCGCTCGACAAGGCGCTCGACAGGACGCTCGAGTAGGTACTATGTACACGCGTAGCAGGACGATCAACAAGACGCTCGAGAAGATATACGAGTAGCAGAACGATCAATAGGAGGCTCGATACCAATATAGCACGCAGGTGTACGCGTAGAAGTCGCGTAGTTGAATAATAATTAAGAAGGTACGTACGTAGTAGATATACTCAAACTAGTAGATAGATATACTTAAACTGAACTAGTAGGATCCGAGTAAATAGAGTCGATACAGTTTTGATACGCTTAAACCCGTAAATAGTTCCGAACCGGTTTCGAACCGTGGTGGAATCGTGTTGGATACGTATTCGATCCTCTAAACGGTTTCGAAACCGTGTTAATACGGTGTTGATACTGTATCGATCCA